ATCAATGAAATGCAGGCTGCACATTGCTGTCTCCTCCTGTCACTAGAACATTCCTTGAACACTTGCTGGGTTTAAGTCAGCCTGGAAATCAGTAACCTGTCCAAGGCAAGTCAGAATTTATGCCAGGCCCATAGTAAAAACATGTCTTAACTAATTTGGCTGCCAATATCTCTGAGGGGAAGAATATGTACACTTTATTCTCAAAACTTATTTTGGCCTGTCCTACAATGGATTATTTCATTAAAAAGAAAACATTCAAACCAACATTTAAAACCACCGTTTTGGTGTACCTTAAAGCTTTTGCCATTTTAGAGCTTCCTCTTTTTCTGTCATCTCTTAAACACATGCAAAATAAATACAGTGGAGTCCCCAGCGGAAGCTGCTACTCAGGGAGCTGTGGGCCTCAGTCCTTACTAGGAGTTAAAGTGGCAAAGAGCATTTTTGCTCCAGAATTCTAAAGGCATTTTGGTGTTGGATAATCTGGACCTGTGGAAATCATATGATAGCCTGATACTGTGTCTTACAACTGCCGCAGTTCAGTGATTTTCAACATCTTACTTTCTGTAAGCAAACATTGAGAATGCTCAGGAGAGAGCATAAATATAATGACATATCTTGTTATAAATAGCATATAAGTAGAAAGTGTAGTTCGATGGGAGTCTAACTGACCTTAGAATCCTAGCTCCTCTGGCTCTCAGTCCATAAGGCTCAGACTACATTCCTTGGGCATTTCTATGGAGCGGACAGCGGGGGGCACTTTCCGCCTGTCTGAAAAACATTCACCGGCTTTGGCTTGTTTGCTTGCTTTCTAACTGTTTTACCACCACTGCACAGAAAACAAAGTAATTCCGTTCGTAAGTGTAGGAAGCCCAGATCAGTGTCTTGGGAGCAGTGTCAGAACACAAAGCCATTTAACTGAATCTGTAGGAAGCAGTTACAGATAACCCCGGAAAAGACTTTACCTTTCTGTAGATCCAAACTGCAAGAAGAAAGTGAAAGTCACTCAGTCATGTCCGACTCTTTGTGACCCCTTGGACTGTAATCCCGCCAGGCTCCTCTGCCCCTGGAATTCTCCAGGCAGGAATGCTGGAGTGAGTTGCCATTCGCTCCTCTAGGTGTCAGGAGCTAGGGGTGTGCCCAAACCGTGACAAAGTCACGGGATGAGAGAGGAACCTGTAAGGCAGCTCTTTCCCACACGGGGCTGCCCCGGGGGCCCAATATGTCCCCTCAGGAGCCGCCGGGATGAGAAAGGAATCTGCAAGCAGCTCTTCCCCTCGAGGTTCTCCCGGGTGCACGGTATGTCCCTTTCTTCCTTCTGTCTTACTGTTATTGGGCTTTCTAATAAATTTTGGAAATATAATATATAGTAATAAGGCCTCCCTGGAAAAGTCCAAGCCTTTTTTGGAAATGCTCATGATTGCTCTGGCTCAGGACACGACCATAAACATCAAGTCAGCAAAGAAAAGGTCACAGGTATAGTTTGGCTGCTTGCTGAAAAGATTATAATGTTCTATAAACGAAAAGAGTAAAGGCATTTAGATTTAGAAGTAGATGTACTGCATCAGTTTACTTGCTCCTTGGTTGAGAGGGTTTTCATTATTGTTCTTTCCTTGCTGCTATTTGTTCATTGTTTCCCTTTCTTTAAACAGCATGAGATTATGGGTATTTTTGCAGAGTTAGGAAATGGGGTACATACATTTCAATAGAAGCTTTATATTAACCAGCTTCACTGCCATTATCTCACTATTAATAGAGGGGTTTTTGCTGTTTAATAGTTAATCATTGTAAACTGAGATTTTGTGGTTTGGGGTAAAGAAAAATATCAGGTTTTTCTCATGATACTATTCTCAGAAATGTCAAACATGTTACTGTGACCCTTCCCATGTATTTTTTTATTGTCCAAAGAATTTATACTGTACCTGAGATTTGTAGGACATTGTTTTTGTTAGAGTGAAAATGTTAGGCCATTGTGGCAAGAAGACTATGTGCGGGACATTTAAAAATAAACCCTGTAGTCGGGAATGTTCTAGATAAATGCATTGGGGAAAAACATGGGAAAGAAAAATATTGACAGATGCACGAAACGGTATTGGATGTAATACGTGGTGACTTAAGGGGCAGGTAACGTTCATTCTATACAAACTGAGCTCACCTAAAAATAAAAAAAAGCTACCTCTTCTACTCAACCTTCTGTGTGTGTCTGTCTTCTTCCTCGCTGATGCCACTCATCCCTTGGGTATTCCTGGTCCTGCCGGGGCTGGACCTGGGTGTCTGGGGAATCTTCCCAACCCAAATTATCCAGTAATAAAATGCTTTTGGTGTTTGAGTCTCAAATGCTCTTTAGTACTTTAATTTCTGGTGAAGACAGAATCTCAGGTCAACCTAGGCCCTGTCCTAAACTAGTTTGTGTCCTGTAACCCTGGTCAGACACATAGACTTTATAGAGCTTGTTTTTTCTTGTTTGGAACAATTTGACCCAGCTGCTCACAAGTGAAAAGCAAACTACTAGACCTTAAAATGTTCCAGTCGAGTACAATCAAATGCTGTTGCTTCTAGGCACTTCATAGGATGTTTTAAGCCTTGTCAGCCACCAGATTCTCTTGATTCTGAAAGGTGGGTTTACTAGGGCCTGGTAACAAGGGAAGTGTGATGAAATCACTGCAGCAGTGTTCTGCTGCAATGCACAGGATCTGGACAGACTAGGAACAATGATAAAATATTCTGAAGGGGTGAATCCAGGGCATTTAATCTTATCTGAACAAAAGCTTGTGCACCGACGCATTTTATGCATCACTTCAGGGCGGACACAGGCTCCCTGGGCTCTCCAAATCTCTCAGGTTAAGAGCTCCTGGCCCAGGAGTGAAAGAAAACAAAGGCAGCCCTTCCATCGTGCTCATTCCGACCTCTGGTCCCATCAAAGCCATACCCCTGAGAGGCACAGTGGACGCTCAGAATGCTGTCCCAGGCACATGGCTGCCAGACGAGTTACAGGCGCAGCCCTGCCCAGGGGACAGCTGCTTCCTGCCTGCTGCCGGGAGTTGTGAGAAGGCCCCAAGGAGATCTAGGAAAAGCAAAGCGTAGTCCAACTCAGATGAGCGGCCCGGAAGCACGAGGGAGCTAAAGAGACAGGAAGCACGACTCAGGTCCAGGAACGACCCATTTCCGGCTGTGCTGATAACGGACATGGGTGAAGCGTCCTGCTCTCTGCGCGCGCGGTCTCTGCTTCTGCAGGCACTTCCGGTTGCCTCACCGTGAGAGGCGACTGCTTGTCAGAAGGCAGATCTTTTCTGTCATCAATAAACTGTCTTTTCCTTGCTGTCAGCCCTGTAATCTGGCACTATATGCTCCTTGTTCTATTGGCTGCTATCATTTCTGTAAAAGGAGATTTAACTGTCAAGAGTCGAAAATTTCAGTGGTCTGTGAAGTCCCACCAGCAATTCACTCTCCAGAGTTGTGTTTGAATCAGGTAAAAATGCTCATTACAGACTTAGCATTGAACATACTAATGTGAGAACATGAATGAGTTTAGAACTTTTAGAAAGTCTAATTTTAAAGGTATTTGTTTATCTTTAAAGCCCAATGAGAAAATTTTACTCTTGCTTATCTTTTCTGAGGAATAAACATGGACAGATACTGAAAAAAAGCTACAAAATTTGAGGCTTTGAAGAATGGAATTAAAAGAGAATGGGTCTCATGAAGAGTAACTCCTTTGGGCTGGAGAAGCTGAGAGGAGAAACAAATTGATTCAAGAAAAGATATTATTAGAGCTGAGGTCATCTGCCATTTAGTCAAATTTAATTTTCTGCATGCCAGATCACCTTATACAGACTTGTACAGACACACAATACAACTACCATCTCCACTGATACACAGAGGGGTGCCCTGGCCACCGCTTCAGACCACCTTGTGGGGCACTCAAGATGCTCAGGACTCCATCCAATGTGTCCTGGGGAGGTGACTCCCATGAGGTCCAACCACTGAGCCTAGTTTTATTCTGTTGTCAAACAGACCTTTAAATCCCCGAGAACTGCACACCTCTCTCTCAGCACATAAAATGTCCCCCCATGTGTCACTGTTCCTCATCATCATGGCTGCTGGTTTTATAATCAGGCTTAAGATATGGTCACCTGATTCTAATATTTTTTATTGTGCTGAAGTCAGTCAAGTGTTTTATATCTTACTAGCATATTAACACATCAGATTCAGAGAAATAATTCCAGTATGAAGTCAAATGATTATCCTATCCATATGAAGTTTATAAATATAGTCTCTGGGCGATGGTGAAGTACAGGGAAGCCTGGTGTGTTGCAGTCCATGGGGTCAGGAAGAGTTGGACATGACTGAGTGACTGAGCAATGATAAAACATCATCTCAGTTCATAATGAATGTACAGTGCATAGGGGAAAGTGGGAGAAAAGTATTTTATAAATTAGATCGAGCTTAGCTAATAAAATTAGCAGTGGTAAATGTTGTTTGAGGGAAGAACATAATGAATTATGGATTAGGAAATTTTCCTCTTATGTGAAAGGAAAAAATCAAAAGTCACAGAACATTCTCATAAGTAGACATATTTATTTATTTATAACTGTTTATTTTCTGTCAACCTACTTCCATTTTAAGAGTTTGTGGGGTTTCCATGATGGCTCATGGTAAAGAAGGTTGCCAATGCAGGGGCATGAATTCAATCCCTGGTCCAGGAAGATCCCACGTGCATCAGAGGAGCTAAGCCCTTGCACCACCATCATTGAGCCTGTGCTCCACAGCCTGGGGTCCACAGCTGCTGAGCCCACGCTCTGCCACTACTGCAGCCCATGACAGGAGAAGCCGCTGCGAGGAGAAGGCCGTGCACCGCAACCAGAGAGTGCGCCCCGCTCACTGCAGCCAGAGCAAAGCCCGTGCAGCAGCAAGGACCCAGCACAGCCCCACCCAAGAAAAGAGCCTGTGCAAGAACAGCCGAAGCCCACTCCGTGTTGTCCCTCCCCACCCCGTGGCCTGAGCAGTGGGTGCTGCAGCCCAGCCCTCGGGGGCACCGCGGAGTGGGCAGCAAGCTCGCCTGCCCGCCTGTGGACTAGGCCACCACCTCAGATGGAGCAGCGTTGCACTCAGGTGCTGACGTCACCCATTCACTGTGACGTCCTCCTTGGTCAGAGCCTGCTCACTGCCACCTGCCTTTCCCTTTTCATCTCTTCAGAATGTGCAGACGTGGCGATCAGACACGACCTCCCAAGAGTGTTCACAGGAAACGGTGCCGCGCACGGGCAGAAGTGCCCGGGTGAGCATCCGCCATCAGACCCACGAACTGAGCTCCCTTTGTGCCGGGAATGGGTCGTCTGCAGAATGCAGAGGAGAGTCTGTGTCACACAGACCGATGGTAAGAAGTTCACAGGAGTCTCGGCTCCTGGAAGCTGCCTGGGTCTGCTTAGTGGAGGCTCCAGGAGTGAAGCGGGCGACCACAGGAGCGGCGGCAGCAAACTGCAGCACAGCTCGCTGGCGAGGGTTCCTGGAGGACGCAACGGTGACAGAAGCTGGGTTTTCAATGGCAACAATGGCATGAGCTGTCGACAGAAGTTTCTCCCAGGTTCTCTTCGGATTCCTAATGTAGACGCCCTCACTTTTCCTTCTGTAGATGTACTGCTCCACTGGGAAGTAAAGGTTGGTGCCACCTAAGTGGGCTCCTGCTGCCAGGAACGTGATGATGTCCCCCTTCATTTGCCGGACATCAAGGACCCAGAATACTGTAAAAGATTCACTTCAAGTTATGACAAGAATCCAAACAGTGCCAAATAGACCACTGTCTGGGTAGTGTGGAAAAAGCCTGAGAAGATGTTTTAGAGAATCCAAATAATCTTTCTGATAAAACAAACTTGACTTTCATTCAGTTGGTAGAAATAACACTATGAGCTTTACCCTTTAGAGGTTTAACTTTTTTTATAATGTTTTGACATTTATGAGAAATTTATAATACATGTACAAGGTTCAAGAACCTGAAAATATAACATATTTTATTTTATGTTTTTCCTCCTACCCCCTCCCTTCTTGTAAAAACTCTGCTGCTTTAACGGTCAGCCATGGTGTTTCATTTCCCAGGAATCTTTCCAGAGTTTTGAATTTTTAAAAAATTATTTATTTGGCTGTGCCAGGTCTTAGTTGTGGCCTTAGGACCTTTTCCATGGGAACTCTTAGCTGTGGCATGTGGGGCCTAGTTTCCTGACAAGGGATTGAACTCAAGCCCCTACAATGAGATTGCAGAGTCTTAGCCACTGGACCAGGAGAGGTGTCCCAGAATGTCATTTATGCAGACACAAGCAACTATGAATATCTGTTTCTTCTTCATTCTACATGGTGGTGCTAGTGGTAAAGGACCCACCTGCCAATGCAGGAGACAGAAGAGACTCGGGTTCAATCCCTGGGTCTGGAAGATCCTCTGGTGAAGGAAATGGCTTTCTACTCTAGTATTCTTGCCTGGAGAATCCCCATGGGGCAGAGGAGCCTGGTGGCCTACAGTCCACAGAGTCACAAAGTGTCAGACATGACTGAATGACTTAGCACACAACCACATTTAAAACCATAAATGATAGTATACTGTGCACAATGTTTTTATTATATCTTGTTTATATTCAGCTGAAAATATCTTGGGGAAAACTCTCTCTTGGGACACTATTTTCTGCAAATCAGTCCACTGAATGGATGAGGTACTATAACACACTTTACTGGTCCACATTGGAATAAACACTAATATTCAATTACATCTTGACATCACAAAAACAATGTAATGCATAACCTTAGCCTGTGTTATTCCACTGCAGGAAAATGTATAAATTTCTAATGCATTGAATAATGTCCAACATTCATGTGGGACTGAGAATCCTTACCAGCCAGAGTGAAGAAACCTCCTTGAATATGTTGGGCATTCAACCAAGGCAAAAAAATGCATATATTAGAGCTGAAACGAAAAAAAAAAAAAAAGAAAGAAAGAAAGACGGAGAGAGAGAAAGAGATATGAAACTGATCACAGCCTTAAAATAAAGGGCACATAGACTTGTACTAACAAACCTTAGCAATAATCCTGAAAAGTGTTTGTTATGCAAGTAACAATTGCCTACCAGGAAAAAAATAAATTAACACTTTCAGAAAACATATAAATAAAACAAAACAAAAGCATTTCTATCACCCAGGAAACTTTAAAACAGTTAGGGGTCCTGTGTCAGACAGCAGGTCTGATGTATATTTCATATTATCTCATACCCACCCATAAAAAATGAATGTAAACCCCTTTATATACACTTCAAATATTTTAGAATATTCAAGAAATTGACTACTTTTTGTAAAAATATGAATTGTCAGGACCATTATTTAAAGCAACTAAAGCAAAAGAAAAATAAGCAAGGAAGGCTTTCAAATAAAAATTTTTGAGAATTACTTCTGAAAATCATGTAAAAGCTATGCAAGCAAATAACAACTGGCTACAAAAGTACCCCATAGTTTTAGAGAATCAAGAATAGAAGAACAGAAGAAATCTATATTTTGTGAATATAATTTAACCGTGCTGTCACAACTTGACATAAGTGACCTAAAACAAAAGCACACACCAATTTCACCTACTATTCTTGCCCTCAAAATCCTAACCTATTAAATACTAATAAATGATATATGAACATTTGCAGAGAAATTCTCCATCTCTAAAAAACTTAGGTTTACTCACAATTTTTGTTCTTTGAAAGTAAGTCAAGTTGTATATTCTAAGAAGTGCTTGCTCCAGAAGATGTGGAATATACGTACAATGGAAAACTACTCAGCCATAAAAGTGAATGAAATAATGCTGTTCAGAGCAACCTGGATAAACATGGTGATTTCATATTAAGCGAAGTAAGTCAGATAGAAAAAGACAAACATCATATGATATCACATATGTGGAATATTGAAAAATGATACAGATGAACTTATCTACAAGACAGAAGTAGAGTCACAGACATAGAAAACAAGCTTATGGTTACCAAAGAGGCTCACAGGGGATGTGAGGAAAGGTAAATTAGGAGTTTGGGATAAATATGCACATAGTACTGTGTATAAACTAGGTGGACAACAAAGACCTACTATATAGTGCAGGGAACTATACTCAATATCTTGCAATGATCTATAATGGGAAAGAATCTGAAAGAATATATAGTCTCTCAAAGAGTTATGTCCAACTCTTTGGGACCCCAGGGTCTGTAGCCTGCCAGGCTTCTCTCAAAGGAGGGGTCCCAAAGAGCTGAACACAGCAGAGGGACTAACATTACATCCCTACTACTATGCTCGTTCTTAGCCAACTTGGGGAAAGACATGAACGCCTTATCAGTGCTGCAATAAGTTTTGCGCTAAGATGCCTGCCATATAGGGAACAATTTGAACATATTCTGAATTTCAGTTGTGCTTGCAAGTAACTTTGTGAGCACAATCAGCTGGTGGATGAAAGCACAGCTGATTCAGAGGATCCTAACCAGTCAGGAAAACACAAAACACACTTAACACTCAATCAAATAGTAAACTGACCGAGGACATTGCAGCAAGTCATACTCCTTCGTTCTCCACTTGTCCACATGTAATTGTCAACAGTCTGCTGTGACTCTTGGCTATTTTATTATTATTTTTTCTCTTATAGCAACAGAGTTTTTTTTTTTCCATTTATTTTTATTAGTTGGAGGCTAATTACTTTACAACATTGCAGTGGTTTTTGTCATACACTGAAATGAATTAGCCATGGATTTACATGTATTCCCCATCCTGGTCCCCCCTCCCACTCCCTCTCCACCTGATCCCTCTGGGTCTTCCCAGTGCGCCAGGCCCGAGTGCTTGTCTCATGCATCCAACCTGGGCTGGTGATCTGTTTCACCCTAGATAATATACATGTTTCGATGCTGTTCTCTTGAAATATCCCACCCTCGCCTTCTCCCACAGAGTCCTCAAGTCTGTTCTATACATCTGAGTCTCTTTTTCTGTTTTGTATATAGGGTTATGGTTAACATTTTAAAATAGAGTGTATTAGTAGGAAATTTGTGACATAATAAGGCAAACAGATCAGGAGACAACTGTCATTGAAAAGAGATTTAATGGCTTACAGCTCCCAAGAGGAGGGATAGGCCATGCCATTGGGCTACACAGGAAAGGACCCGACTTCTCCGGAGAGGGAGGGATGGGAATTCAGTACAGGGGCCTTTACTGTGACTCCTCAGGAGGCAACAGTGAGCTGGTGCGCATGTCAGGACTGACTAGTGCGTGTGGTGCTAGCTGCCATCCTCGGTGTCTGACTCTGGTGACAAGGGAAGGGGGACCGTGGCCTGAACCAAAGCTTAAATGTCACCTCCTCAGAGACACGTTGCATGTGCAGTGACAGCTCCCCCATGTCTCCTGCCCTTACCACCTTGGTCCTTCACGGCACCAGGGCCGGCCCTGTCAGCACCTGCTGTGGCCCGTCACCTGGAGGAGCGGCCCTCGGTCCCGGCCTGCAGACTCCTCTCCTCGCCGCCCCCCCCACCCCACCACCCTCCCATCCCACTGTCCTGTGTCCTGCCCTTCACTCCATGGAGCTAACTCTTCTACAAGCTGTTCTGTTTATTCCTTTTCTCCCTCCACAGCATCAGCTCTGTGGGAGCAGCAGGATCGTTTCTTTTTAAAGTGTGGTGCTTTTCTGTCTTATTCTCTTGAATGTCAAGGACTGTGAGGTGTCATGGTTGGATCCCTGCCCCCAGCACGGGCCTGGCACAGAGCACATGTGCTCTCAGCATTCGGGAATGAATACACCAGTCACTGTGCTTAGCGCAAGGAACTAGCAATGGTAAGCCTTGTTCCTGCCCCCAGAGGACTTAAAAACAAGACAACAGCCCCCAAAGGAGTTGCTTAGTTAAGAACCATACTAGCAAATTAGATGTAAATGCAGTTTCGGCTCCTCCAGAAATGAAATCTTGAACCAGTCAGCCAGGAATCTTCTGATTATCACTAGTTAAGTATCTGCCTGAGATACCCCTGCCAGCCCCTAATGGAAAGTAACCTCGCAGTGACCACTTGGATTCTTTGCCCAGTACAGCTTGCTTGGCTCTGATCCGTTATGACTGTAAAAGTCTTTTATTTTGTGCAAGTCCTCAGAGTTTCTTTCTGTCAGGCGAGTGTATACTCCTCAGTTCTGTCTCGTCACAACAAAATTTGGAGTGACAGATATTAAAGCCCTCAGCGCGTCACAGCTCTCGGGTCTTGGACAGACCGTGTTATAGCTCTTAGACAAATCAGTGTCACAGCTCTATTTTATTTAGAAAATAGCAAGAGAATCCATCCTTGAGGAGTGAGGGCATGCCAACCCAAAGAGGCGAAGAGAAGAGAGTGGGGGAGCACACAGCGTGCAGGAGAGAGAGAGAGAGAGAGAGAGAGGGCGCGGATTTGGCTCCTCTTTTTATATGCGTTTTTCCTCCTCCTGGGCCTGCCCTATGTAAGTTGGGCTAGCTAGGAGTGCTGTTTGTTCTACCTGAGGTCCTCATTCAGGTCCTCAGGCCTCCCTCTGACCTTCCTTTGTTCTGTTTTCATGGGCTTTTCCCTTTCTTTTCTTTTAGCCACTGCCATTTTGCCCTCCTGTTTCCTCTTCTAACTACCTAGCATTTCTAACTGCTAAATTGGATGCTGCCTGATTCATAAATATT